CCTCTGTGATTGATATCTCCTTTAGTGATTCCTGAGGTTCAATGGGCTTTGTGGCCTACTCTATGGGCACTTTAATACTTCCAAACTCCTACATGAGGTTCTACTTCAGTAATTGCCCGATTTGCTTTAAGACGTGCTTGTTTACTGCTTTCCAAAAGCCTGCCTTAAATTTTTGGCTATGTTGTGGTTTTAGTTTTTCTTTTGAAAGAGGGTATAGTTCGTTGGAGATCTTTGTTTATGTGGATCCAAGCCTTTTTCGTTCTTTACCGTCTTTAGCTGACCTTTCTCTTCCTTGAGCAGACTTCTTTTCTAAGGGAAGTCATCCAACTAGCTGAAGGGGAATGTGGAATTTTTATGCTGGTAAACTCCATATTTTTTTGTTGAGATGCATTAATTTGCTAATGGCATGCAGTCAAATCTGGGTTCTGCTGCCTGTTAGACCTAGCTTTTTGTAGTCTCCTGATAGGGGTACAATGTATTATAGCTTTGTTGGAACATTTGACATAAAATTGACAAAGTTAGGCAAACATATTGGGTTCTTTCATCCACTCTACGTGATTTGACTCACTTATCAATCTTTTTCTTTTTGAGGTTGGATGTGCGGGTTAGTCTATGGGAGATTTTAACTATTGGATACAGGATTAGGTTTATACCCTGCCTCTGAACCTGGCTATCACCCTTATCTTCAGTTTCTGTATTCAGGGTGGTGTGACTTTTCCGCCTAATGTCATAATAGTTTGCTTACGTAAGACACCCTGTTATTGATTTCCCTCCTGACAGGTGCCTCATGTGTTATGGTTGCTAGAGGTGCTCTTTGGAATGCTTCTATTTTCTCTCCTACTGGCAAACTACCATGGGAAGATGTGAAAAGAGAGTATATAAGAAAGGTTTAGGCCTTTAGATAATTTTCATTTTGCTTTTTTATTGCTTATATAGTTTTGAAAGTTCAATGTTTCTGGGTTTCCGAATTAAGAATGGTGAAGAAGTCATGATCAATTTGCTTGCAATTGATTCTGTTTGAAAATACTTTTGGCCAACCCTTCGGTCCTTTGTTCAGAGTATCTTATGGGATAATGACATCAAGAGCACCAAGCAAACTCTGAAGGAAATGATAATGCATTACTCTTGCCTTGAATTCCCGGAGGGAAAGGCTGTGACTAAGGCAGAGACTTTGGCAGATCTCGCGTAAGTATCACTTCAAATTACTCTCTTGTCATAAATGTTCTTGCAAATGAATTGAAGGTGTTACGCAACATGGCACCGTCTAGGTATAACTTCTCATGAAGCTGTTATTGAGGTCAACTATTACAGGTTCTTCATGCGAGATTATTGTGTTGACTTTTCTTTCTTTTTTTTTTTTTCAAGTCAACTTTATGGGCAAGAGCAATATTATGAGTATGTCAAATTGAACCAGCTCTCATCTACTCGAAGTAGGTGAAATCCTTTCAGCAGCTTAACCATGAGCCTGATTGCAAAAAGTAGGTATGCTTGCTCTTCAATCTGAGGAATGCTGATTTTTGTGGTTGTACTATATTGGGACTGCCTGCAGCACACGTAATTGTCAGAACATTTACCATGTAAGGGCATATAATTTGTCTGGCGAGCTTGCACTGATTTCATTCCAATGATAATTTTTGCTAAAAATTTTAGAACTTCTGGATGTGTACATAAAAATTTATAGTAGACCGAGTTTTCCTATAATAGCAATAATTGTATGACAATCACCCCTTTGACTTTTTGGAAGGATATCACTTCAAATTCTTGGCAGGCGTCTATTTGAGTACCTGTAGCTGGCATTTCCTTTTAGTTTTTACATGTACTGCCAGCGGCATTTTCTGTCGCAGTCGTGTTATAGGCTTATTATTGGGCAAGAGCCAATGAGCCATAATAGTCACGCGAGCTGCAAAATTCGAGAGCTGCAGCTACCCGCTTGTTTTTTTTTTTTTTTTTTTTTTTTGATTTCATGGTGTTTTAGGTGCTTAGTGGAAATACGTCAGGGGAATGAAATAGCGAGGACAAGCCCCCCATCAAAGACTGGGAAGAGGGTGCTAATTGTTGCTAGCTGATTTTAAATTGAGGAGAACTCTTTTCTACCAGAGGTTGTGGGTGAAATGCTATAATACGGTGCAACCGCCTAAGGTCCTGCTTGATAACTTTTAGTTCAACACTTAAATTTAATGGATTTAAATCTTAGCATATTCATATCGTTTGATAACGAAAATTGAACATCCGAATTAATTAAGTGATACTGAATTTCTTAGGTAAAACTTTAGATTTTAGATTTGAGATTTCAGTTTTATTAAACGCATCCTAAATCATGTTGCCTCAATAAGTATGTGACAGATTTAAGGGCGATTCTTCCCCCATTTTTAATAGATTGATTTTTGGTTTCATAATTTTTGCTTAATTTGACCTATTTTCTGCAATGTTATTCCTATTTAGCTTCATTGTTTTATACTCTTGACCTTCCCGCGGTCCTAGAATCGAAGGCACACTATGAGTTACCATGAATTTCTTATGGGAAAGATTTCTACAACCACCAAAAATCATATTAATGGTAGATTTGCCGCTTTTAGGTTTAAGAGGCCTTTCTTGAATTTGTATTGCAATTTTGCTCAGCTAAACATTTGGACAAAAATTTAATAAAAACATTTGGATATTGTATAGTATGCTGCGCTCTTGTCCCTCAATAGTGTATCATATGCCCTCTCCAAGTTAATCTCTCTAAATGCCACTATCATATATTCGGCCCATAATGCAAAATTTTGTTTCGGTTTGAAATGATTACATGGCAAGTCTATCCGTGAAAATGCTATAAATAAGATCGTGGAGTTCAATGATTAAGCATTAATGGAGATTTTATTTAAATTGTTATTACATTCTAGTAGGTTTTAATTGATCAGATTTGGCAAGAGTTTCTCTCCTAAATTCTAGATTTTAGCCTTTAAGAACATACCCAAAAAAAAAAAAAAAAAGAGGAAAGAAACGGTTGGGAATATAACCACATTGGCCGCCTCCTCAACAAAATCACAGACCTCATTCACTGCAGGAGATTTGTGGAAGGGCAAATGCTGAAAACCCCTACGAATTATTATAGTAAGTGCATTTTACACTCTAAATTATTTTAACAGACGCTTTATAGCCTTAATTAACTAGAAAATAATAAGAAAATTAATTCCATCCAAAAAATTGAAGAAATTATCAATTTATCTTCCATTAAAACTTTATAAGTGACAAAATACCTTTTTGGTAGAAAAGTTGCAACTTTAAGGGTCTGTTTGGTTGGAAGTAAAATGTTTTCCTTGGGAAAATATTTTCCGTGGAAATAATTTTCCATGAAAATCATTTCCCTTTCATCATTTTCAGGTGTTTGGTTAGGTTATTGAAAATATTTTCTTACTTCATTTTTCTGGTATTTGTTTAATTTTTGAAATATTTTCATTTTTATCTCTATCTTTACTTTCTACACATTATAACTACATACTTCTTCCCATGCAAAATAAGAAAATTTATCTCATTGATTAACTTTAAAAAATCTTGAAGAAATGTATATATGAATAAAAAATATCTCCTTAAGCAATAAACAAATTACTGGCCATTTAGTATCAAATATCAATCACATGCAATGCTTATTGTGACATATATCTTGCACTCTCACTGCTGAAAGTTTCTCTAGAAAAGAATGTCCCTATTATACATAATTAATTACTAGCATAGAATGAGCAGGATGAGGTTTTTTTTTTATTTTGAATATACTAGGGGGAGGGTTGGGTTAGGTTGGGTGGTACGGGGGAGGGAGTGTAAGAAAGAGATCTTGGGTTCGAGTCTTCCTGTTTACACTAAAAAAAAAAAAGAACATACTACAAGATGTTTTTAGTAAGTTTGGAACATACTACAGGCGGGATGCATGCATTTCGGAAAACAACTTCAGTAAGTTAGGAAGGGAAGTTGTTTTCCATAAGATGAGTGAAAATATTTTACATAGGAAAATGTTTTCAGTAACTTTTGTGCAACCAAACACGGGAAATTAGGAAAACATTTTCCTGGAAAATATTTTCACCCGAAACAAACGGACCCTAAATGGATTAATTTTCACTTCGTAATCACATTCTAACTATAAACATATAACAATAAAATATATGATCACTTTGAATGACAATTAAAACAAAAGAAGTATGAAAAAAAGAAGAAGAAAGGGAACAAATTTAGTTCAAAAATCACAACAGCCCTATTTTATTACATGTTTCAAGTTAGCTTAGGTAAGAAAATATTGCAATGAAGAAAAAAGGCACGTGAAGTCCTATTTATTTCTCATGCAAGCCCAGTTAGGCTCCCTCTTTCCCACAGGATAGAAGTAACGTAGATTGTTGCCATTAAACTCAAAAAAAGTCTTATTTATTCCTCTAATTTCGAGCTATACCTTCGTTTTATTTCTATATGCACATAACAAATGAAATAATTTAGGTGTTTTATTTAAAATTTTGAGTTCAATATTTTGTTTACTAATATTTAGATTAGATTTTAATTTAGGTTTGGCATTTTGAATCTTTATTGCTTTCATATGAAAAATTTGTTTTCTATGCTATTGTGAAGATTTCAAGTGAAATTTTGCTGGTTATATGAAGTAACGGCATTATGATGCGTCGGACAAAATTATGAGATTTTAAAAATTGTAACAGTAGTATCTCAATATTTCCATATTTTGCCCCTATTTTAGTTTTAATAGTCTTATCATTCAAAGCAAAGCTACATATATAGTAATCTTTTTCATGAAAATGGTATTTTTGTCACTTAAGTTTTTATGGACAATAAATTGGTCATTCCATTAATCACTTGGAAAAAATTAATTGTCATATTATTTTTTAGTTGACTAAGGGTGCAAAGTGTCTACTAATATTTTAGGGTGTAAATTGTGCGAGCTCTCTGCATTTAATTCTACTAGAATAAACAACGAAAAACGAGGGATAAAAGTGGAATGAAATGGTTGAGGACCCAAACGTAAGCAAACAGCAATCTGTTCTCCCTATTTTATTTAGAAAATCTTTGGGCTTCTATTCTCTCTCTCTCTCTCGAGCGTTTTCTTGTCTTCAAGCCAAGGTTCCACACAACATCCGACCCGAACCACCTAACCCACCCATCTGTCGACGGTCGGGTATCCATTTTCATGGTTTAACAATCTCCGGTAGGACACAATACTAGCATCTTCTTTTCTGTCCTAAACTCCCAAAGTACTTGTTGATTATATTTTCTACTACTTTTGCTGAAACGACGCCGCCAGTTACCGGTGAGTTACTAGCATAAATTTGAAGGGGGGAAAAAAATTAAATTTTGATGATTGCTTAAATTTTCGTGTCATGATTTTCGATCTGAATTTGTGTGATGCATCATTATTCACGCATCCAAGCACACAGTTTAGTATATTTTGTTGCGTGGAAGCATCATCTATTATTTGTTTTTTTTTTTAATCTTTCTTCTTTAGATATGGAATTGCTTCCGAGTTACTGCATTTTCTTTTCTTTGTTTGAAATTTTTGATTCGGCGAATTTGAGAAATCGTTATTTATTTTTCTCCACGTATTGTTGATTCTTGAGTGTGATTAGTAGGCGGAGCACTTCTGATTGGGTGGGCTTACAGATGGCACTGCGGCTAATTAACAATCTAATGCTTGTGTTAACTAAATTGAGCTGCTTACAGAAAACGAAAATCAAAAAACTGAATTGAGCTGGTATTACTTTTGCTTAGTTGAAAAGTTGCTTAAGAAGGAAATCTTGCTGTTTTCTTTATGACAAAAAAAAAAAAGGGTGTTTCAACTGTGTTCTATTGTTTATTTTGTTTTATTTCGGGAGATATGTATTTAGGTCTCTTAGGAGAATCGGAGGGTAAACTTGAGAATAGAGTATATAACTTTCTCGTGTAGTTTGGGAGTCCCAGAGAGAAAACAGAAATTCAGAAAGGAGTTCTATTGAAGTTTGAGTTTTATGGGTCATTTTTGTAGTTTTCTTTCATCATCATCATCATCTTCTGCTTCTTCTTTTAAATCGAAATCCTTTTTCTTCATTCCTTTTTGTTTTCCTTGAGTAGTGAGTTATAGATTTAAAGATGCAATAAAAAATTTGATTATCTTCTTAAGCTTGTTATGCATATTTTATGTTGGTGTTTAAACTTTTTCTCATCTATGTCATAATGTCTGATTTAAGTTCAAGTTTTAGTGGTCATGTGACCATTGGAATGAGGCACATTCTAGGTTTCATGGAAAAATTTCCAGAATTTTTTAATTTTTTTTTTCGGTTTCACCTAACATTAGTAGAATCTTCACTTGAAAGCTAATTTTCTTGCATCTTTATGCCTGGAGAGTAAAGACTAGCTGCACTCGACATTTTGTCGCTTGTGTGTGTTTGGGTTGGGGGGAGGAGTCTTTTTTTTTTTTTGAGGACAGAATTCTCTGTTTTTGAATAATTCCCGTGCATGTATGTGCCTTTCTTAAATTGTACAACATTAACTGTATTTCAGGTTTGCCCCTGAGTTGGTATAACACAAAAAAGTTGTTAAAGTTGAAAAGACCCTGTCTTCCTCGGTGCTTTAACAACTTTCAGGTGACTTTTACCTTTTGTATTCGTTTCCACTAAATAAATCTGTATTCTTCGACTGTCAATCTCCAAAAAAAGAGTCATGTGTTTGGGTCTTAAGTTGTTTTTATCACTATTCATTTATTTTTCATAGTCTGATATATGGTCCGCTGGGTTGAACCTGCTAAGTGTATTCTTTTTCGTTTGAATCCGTGCTGTAGATAATCTCATTATTGAGCAATAAATTCTTCCAATTAACACTTAATAAGTTTTAGATCTGAAATTGGATGAAGTTGGAGAGAGATAAATAACAGAATTTTCAGAATTTCAAAGCAATTAAATCTTGGGTGATTAGCCATTCTTATTTGGCATCCCGGTGCACTCATAAAGACTGGCCCATCATTGTTGATTGGGTTTTCAAGTTTTATCAAGGCTTTTTCTTTGCTGAGTGAAGGGAAATTTGAAACTTTATCTGAAGTAACAGTCTGGAAAACATGACCCGGACTTCCATCTGCCAAATCCCTCTACCTGTCAAAAAATTTTAAAAGCCATTGTCAAGTTATTGTGGGTCTCATAGGTTCAGGCTATATGTTACTTCACATTTTTATCCCATTTGTTTAACAATTTCAGCCAAGCTTCCTTTATTCATGTTGTGTAAGAGGTCCAAATATGACTCGTTTGAGCAGCTTGGTGATGTTTGTTTTGTTAAAATCCTACTGATAAACATAAGTGAATCATCAGCTACAAATGTCTTATCTATGCAAAAGAACACTTTCTTTTGCCATTTTACTCTTTTCCTTTTTGAAAGGCCTTTACTAATCTTTCCAGAGCTAGTTATGGGGCGTCATTGACTCATTGAACTCGAGCAATATTTTCTCTGTTCTCATCTGGCCTTTGTCTTGTTGTGTATGTACTTTTGCCTGGTCAAGCCCTTGGAGTCACTTAAAAGAGTTTTGAGACCATCTTTTGTTATGATTTTGAATTTCTTTTGATATTTTGAGTCTCAGTCATCTGGTATTAATTCTGACTTTCACATAAACTGAAACTTAGAAGAGCATAATTATATTATCTCTCTGAGAACCAATGACCTTTTTGTTTTCCTCTTTTAATTTCAATTATTTCACTCTGGCTGTACTTGTAAAGTACTAATGATCATGTGGTGCATATATATGGATTTTCTGTCTGGTTTCATCAACATACAAGTAATTCATGGAGTTCTTATTGAGCTTTGCAGTGTTTTGTCTTTTAAAACTGCAGATGTTAAAGCTTGATTTTTGTTATGTAGCTAAATGGCAAGAGTAATTTCCCTGGGCAAAGTTAGATGACTCGATATGAGGCTATACATTGTTAATAATATAGTAAAATTGAAGTTCATCTAATAGAAAAAATATGCTAGATACTAGGATGAAGAAAGGAGCCTTCTTGCTATAGACGATTTGAGAGAGCCTATCTTGGTGGTAACAAATTAAACAATAGCTTATTTTGATAATCTCACTGGTTTTGTGAGTCATGGATAAAGAAAAGATGTACCATTCACCGACTATTATAGTTTGAGTAACTCGAGTATGCCTACTCTTTATTTTAATCCCTTGATATTTTAGTCTTCCATCTGCCATATTTCGGGAGAATTTCATGATGCTAGTTAAGTTGGTGATCGTCTTTGGTCTTGAATTGGAAATCGTACAAGAGAAAAGTTTTAGGCAATATTGTTTCTTTTAATGTGCTTGTTGTAAGTTTTAATCAAAATGTTGTTCTTTATGGAAGTATTGTACAATGAGTCCTGACTGAGATGTAACATGGTCTCTAACTTTTTGATGTCAAAATCGACTAGTACACCTGTTTCTTCTCGAAAAGGGAAAGGGAGAAAGAAAACAAGTAAATAGGGCGAAGAAAAGGGTAAAAACAATTTTTTTTGTTAAATGCATAATCACTCTTTTGTGTCTCCCGTCTTAGGGAAAAGCTGCTTCGGAATAAGTTGGCTGATCGTTTATCTTTGAGACTTTATAGGTACTTGTGTGTTTGTTTATGAAGGTAGAATAATGTTTATATCATCTCCTCTAATCTAGGCATTGATATTTACTAGTGATGAAATGTTTCTGCCTTCTTTTAATCTCTTGTAGATTTCATTTTTGCTTGCTTTTGCTTTTTCCTGCAATGAGAGAATGAGGGTCCTCTTGAGTTTTTGGGGACTCATCATTTTGATCCCTTTCTTTTTGGCTGTGGTTGATTAGATTTAGAGTTTATAAAGAAGGAACTTGAGCTAGTATAAAATGGAGTTGAATACTATCAAGGATGCGTTTGATCGCGTTACGAAGAAGCAGAAACTGTCATCATCAAAATCCCAAGAAATCATAGAACAAATTAGCCAAGAGATAGAACAAGCCCTGTCAAGCATAGGACCAGGTGATGATATTATGACTCAGACTGATCCTAGGTTTATGTTATGTGAACTAAAAGCCAAGTTGAAAGAAATCGGGCCTCTCAGTCAGCTTGAAGTGACACAGAAGGAATTAAATGTGGCATTAAGCAAGTACCCAAAGCTCCTAGAGAAATCCTTCAATCCTGATATATCAAAGGCTTACAGAAATATTGATTTTGATATCCACACAGTGAACCAGATAATTGCCAGCCACTTTTATCGGGAAGGGCATTTTGATCTCGGTGATTGTTTTGTACATGAGGCCCGGGAACCGGAAGCTGAAGCTGCAAAGTCATCTTTTGCCAAAATGTACCAGATACTTGAAGCCATGAAATTACGCAACTTGGAGCCTGCTTTGAAGTGGGCTGCTACCAATCATGATCAGCTTAACCAAAATGGTTCTGACATTGAATTGAAACTTCATCGCCTTCAGTTTGTGGAAATTTTACAGAAAAAGCGTAGAGATGAAGCTCTTAATTATGCTAAAACTTTTTTGGCTCCTTTTGCTAAGAGTCACATGGCTGAGTTCCAGAAGCTTATGGGCTGTCTGTTGTGGGCTGGAAAGCTTGATGCTTCACCATATGCTGAATTGCTGTCCCCAGTGCACTGGGACAAGTTGTCTGAGGAGCTTACCCGGCATTTCTGCAATTTAATGGGTCAGTCCTTTGAGAGTCCATTAAGCGTAACGGTTGCTGCTGGAGGCCAAGGTTTGCCAACCCTTCTGAAGCTGATGAATGTAATGACAGGAAAGAAGCAGGAATGGCAGTCAATGAAACAGTTACCTGTTCCAGTGGATTTGGATAGAGAATTCCAGTTCCATTCTGTCTTTGTGTGCCCTGTGAGTCGAGACCAGGCAAGCGAAGAGAATCCACCCATGCTTTTGTCGTGCGGGCACGTGCTCTGCAAGCAGTCTATAACTAAGTTGTCAAAGAATAACAGTACTAGACCTTTCAAGTGTCCTTACTGCCCCTCTGAGGTTGAGGTAGGTCAATGCAGGCAGCTGTATTTCTGATGTTTACTCCCGACGCATAACCCTGTTGTTCTAAAATCCTTCTTTGGTCATCCTTTTTTTGTTTCACATGAACTAAATGTTTTAATGGCTGTAGCGACACTGGACTCTCGGTAGTATAGGGTTTGTGTGGCAGGGTGGTTAAAGCGGGTTTCTTCTGGCGGTATACTGTTGGGCTGGAACGGGTGTAAATAGATAGATATTCTTTGCACATTCATTATTATCAGTAAGAAGGCCTACCTTGATACTAGTATTTTAACGTTGCCTGAACCGTCTCACTCGCACCAAATATTGGTTGGTGGTTGCTAATAAATTTTGAAGGCGGAATCGGACCTGCCTTGTCTTTCCATCTAAATCTCTAGTTAGTAGATCCGTATCCTGAACAATGATTTGATTTCTGAGGAATTTCCCCTCCATAATCCAAGGGAGGGGCCGGGATTTGATATTGGGGCCTTGTTTAATCCTCCTTAGTTAATGGAGACTGAAGCCGCTTTACCACGTCAAAAGCCTTGCACTAGTCTAATCTTTAAAACGCCCTCCCCGTAGGGTATTCAAGAAAATCTTTTAACAGTTTCCTTCTCTCTCAAAGATGGAGATAATATTAATACCCCCAGTGGCGTATAAATACAATAACGATGGACCAGTCCATCCATGATTGTGTTCTACTTTTAAGAACATCTATCAACTGGGATACCAAAAGCAAAAGTGTCGTCTTTGGATGACATTGAATAGGTTTTACCACCGGCTTTGTCATATGTCTTCGCTGCCGAAGCTATCATGTCAAGATGGCAACAATACCATAAAATTTACCCCAAAGTGATCGTCGGGAATTCTAATTGGCGTTCTCTGCATCTAGAAGTTATCATCAAAGAGATAAAAGGTTGCTAGTCTTCAGCAGCTGTTGCACTTGAAAGGCTTTAAAGGTGCGAGATTCGAGGAAATCATCCAACACAACACCGCCATAAACACATAAAGCCAAGTTAACTCGTCCTGGTCCTTTACTGGATTGGATACATGAGAAAAGCTTTCTTCAAATTTCCCACTTTATTAATGCATTGGTTTCTTCTCCAAAACTTTTTTGATGCCTTCCACGCAGATGCTGCAGCAAGCTTTCACTTGAAAAAGCTTGCACTCTTTTTACCTTAATTTTCACAAACGTGTAGCTAAAGTCATGCTAACGTGGAACTTCTAAATGCAGAAAAAGCATCACATTTCTTCCAAGTTTCCCTAGGGATTGTAAATAGAAGAGTAATTTACAGTAGAACTAAATGGAACTAATCATTTCCATTTCGGTGGGTTTCCAACTCTTCTTGGTGTCGATGATTCATTTGGTATGACATGGCCTGGGTAGATCGCCGTGTCTCACTTTTTTTCCTTCTATCTACTCGAAAATGAATATTTTCAGTGCCAGCATACTAATTATTATAATCTTTACGTCAAAGTAAAAAAGAATGGAAAGAAAACAATGGTAGGGAATCAGCCTAGTCTCCCATAGGATACTCATTTATCAGCTCTGCAGTGGCAGTCAGAAGTACGCATAAAAACCATGCAATGGCAGGGAATCACGAAACCTTACTTTATTATAGATCTAAGATTGAAAAATAGAACTAAAATTGTCCATTTTCATGAGCCATGGCATCGCGAAATTTATCAATTAGTATTGGGCAACGTCTTGTCCAACAGCAAACTGTTGGCTTATGCGAATCCCTGGAATTGGATACAGATAAAAGCTCTATTTCACCACAAAACAAAAAAAAAACACCAAAGCGCGCCCTCTAATTCCTGACCATCCGATGATCAGATCAACATACAAACAATAATAATCAGAGAAAAGCATTAATCATATCCTAAATAGTAGAGGAGAGCAACGAAGATACCTTCCCCTCGGGGCCACACAGAAATCAATCATCGCTCATTAAAAACTTTTATTTCTGTTCATTTCCATTAGGAACCCACTCATTCATTCATTCTCTACATCGCAATTGTTGTATCACTACACTATATAATTCAGACCAATAATAATAATTAAAAGAAAAGGATAGCAGTACTGTACGACCCCAAAAAAAAAATAAAAATGGGAGAGCGAGAGACTTAAAATTACCAATAAAGACAAAAGTAGCAGATAGGCCTTCCCCCCCCCCCTCTCGATTTCGCCTTTCAATCAATCAGTACAATGTGGGGTTCCCTCTCCTTTCAGCTCTCACCGTCCGCTGCAGAAAGCGCCGATCCGTCGGGTACTCCCTCCTTGTCCCTATCTTACTTCCTGGGTCCCCCCTCCTATTTTAATTCCTTCTTCTTTTTTTTTCCCCCTTCCTTGCTATAATGTCCAACAAAACTACTTGTACATACACGGCACGGCAGTACTCACTCCTATTTTTCATTTTAAAATTTACCAACTAATTAAAACAAAATTAAAATCTGGCATTCTCAAAGCCGTGCAAGTCGCTGACCCTATTCATAGATTTCCTCATAATTGCGACTTTAGCCAGCCTCTCCGCCGCTCTCCAAGCCGATGTCGGCGTGAGCGGCTCGCTTGATTTCTCATCCAATCTGATGCTACCGCCGCTGCTGGCGCCGGTAGGATGCCTTCTTTCCACGTTTCGTCTCCTTGGAATCTGCTGCACCGGATTTTGTCTCCTCCAATGCAACTCCGACAGCTCAGCTTCCAAGCCGCTCACGTACTCCTCGCCCCACTCGCTACTACTGCTGGCTTGCAGTACCAGAGATCGAGCCGATGTCAGCAGCTGATGGGCTCCGGCTAAATCATTTCTCTCGACTAATCTCCTAGACTCAGCCACAGCTCGCGTCGCAACAAACAGGCTTCTCAACCGTTCGATGCCGCTGGGCGTGGATGATCGGAGGGCCTGAGGACGTGGGACCAACAGCGCCTGTTCTTTACCTTGGATTAGCACCTGGGTTGACGGGTCTTTGTATGAGCATCGAACGGACAACGCGTGGTGGGCCCCAGCCGAACTCATCGACGGGACTTTTAATTCCACCAACAGTTCTCTCTCTTCCTCAGCGAACAACTCGCCCAGTCGGACCAAACCCGAACCGAGGGCCATGGCCCGACCCCCGAACGAGTAGACTCCCGCGACCTGGCCGTGACCCGACCCGGAAATAAATCCTAAATGGACCCTCAGGTCCTGCACCACCACGCTCAGCAGTCCTCCAACGCATTTGGCCAAGGAGTCGTCCGGCGGCGCCCCGTGTCCGTACGCCCCGCAGTGCCTCAGTCCGACTGACAGTACCGGAACTTCGTAATGGGTGACGCGCGTGGTGCACACGACTGACGACTGCCGCCTTTGATTGGCTGACCGATCCTCAATCGCGTCGGACAAGAGTATAATGCTGGCGACGGGGTTTTTTTCCCGGCGGTCCTCCAGAACCTTGGCGGCTTTCTTAATCGCGTCATTGGCACTCGCGGGTGCTGTTCCATCCAAAGATACTATGGAGTCCACTATCCTGCGGGCGGACCGCCGCCCCGCCGCCGTCATCCTCCTCAGCGGCAGCAGCCGTTTGGAAGTAGATGAGAACGCCACAATGGAGAGCCTATCGGCAGGCGAAAGCGAGGACACCACCAATCTCAGAGCTCGTTTCATCATCTGAAGCTTTTCGTTGGTCAGCTTCCGGCTCACATCCAGCACCATTACCAAGTCAATCGGAGCTCTCCTCGCCGCGTTCGTCGGAGCCGGTGGAGCTCTTATTTTTAGCACAACCACGAAAGTCTGGCTACTCCGGCCAATGGAGATCACGGCAGCCTCTGGCGATATCTTCGTTTCGACATTTCCCAAGGCAGAAGCGGTGCTCTTCTGAAAAGGACTCGTTGTAGTAGGATAAAATCCTTGAAATTCTTCTGTAATATTATCACTATCTTCTTCACCATTCTCATCGGACTCGGGTATCGGGTTGAACCGAGCTCCACATGTTGGCGACATCAGCGGCTCGTCGTCATTGTACACCTTCAAAACAGGTTGCTTACAACTATTAGACGAGGGAGGAGGCGGCGGCGGCGTTTTGGGAGATGACGGAAATTCCATCCTTTTCTCTTGTTTGTCTAACCTGCTGTGATGACTGCTGCTGCTGCCGCTGACATTGTGGATTGATAGTAAGGGCATTTCGGTCCATGTAGAGTTGCAAACCGGGCACGCGAGAATCCCTTGCTTTCTCACGTGACCGGCGACGCATGGAAAATGAAAGCTGTGGCTGCACTCCGCCGTGAATATGGCCATCCCTTGCCCGCTTTTTATGCTGTGTAAACATATTCCACACCTTGTCTGCAAGGAAGAAGAGAACAAAATATTTAAACAAATTAGAATATGTTTTTTTTGTAAGTTTTTGTTTTTTCTCTAAAGATAATAAAGACAAAAAAGAATTGATGGTTTACCTTGGAGGATATGCGAAGGGTGGATTTAAGAAGAGAAAGAGTGGAAGGGGAGCGAGGAGAGGATGGGGTGGAGGAGCGTAGTTGGAAAAATCTGGGGCTGTTTTTGGCCGTCTTGCATTGGCGCTTTGGACTTTCAGGCGGTTGTAATGGTGGTGTGGATGGAGTACTGGTTGCCCTGGTGGTGGGGGTGGTTCGACATCGAAGTCTCGGGCTAGAAACAGGCTGAGATTGTAACCGAGGAGTGGAAGGAATGGAGAAGAAGCTTAACTTGGAGCTAAGCTTAGGAGTGGTAGGATTGCTTTGATGGGCGTCGTGACTAATTTTGTCTTGCCTGCCGCCGTTGCTGGTGGAGCTGCTGCTATGGATGCTGGAGTCTCGATCCCTAGAGATCGACGTACAGAAGGCTTTTCGCCATCCCAATACCATTGTGAGTTTTCTGAGCTCCTTCCACCGCAACCGATCCCGTCCTTGTTTTCCCTTGTCTCGTTTTCTGGGTTTTATACTGCTATCTCTATGTTGTCGTTGTTTAGTTGTTTGATGTGGTTATCTTGTAGTGGTTGACGATGATGATGATTCTGATGAAGAAAGAAAAGAGCAGAAAAGAAAGAAAGAAAGAAATTCGTGGTGTATTATGGCATTGGGTTTGGTACTGGAGAAGACGAATGCGAATGATAATTAATGGGAATAGATAGACAGGCCTACCACTAGCAGAGAAAAAGGGGGAAATTTTTGATAGAATTGACTAATAAGACAAAATATATTAGCAGTAGTACCAATATAGTGGTAATGCCAAGCGGAAGAAAGTTGACCACCCTTTTTTTTTAAAAAAAATAAAAAATAAAATCTCCTGCCCTCTTCTCCTTGCTTTTACGCTTGTATGCAA